ACTTCGATGAGAGGGATTTCCAAGAATGAAAGAGTGGGCAAAGGCTCATCCTCCTTAGCAAGTTTTCTCTGACTGTCTGTCTTAAAAACGAACATGTTTTGCACCATGTGACCTTTCCCTGAAAGTGCCATAGTCTGGGAACTTCAGTCAAGCAGCTGAAGCTTTTTTTTTTGCAATTGCAACATTTTTATTTTTAGATCCAGTGTTCTTTGATTTGAAAAGTTCTTTGACTATGTTTAAATTGAGCAACTTGTGTTTTGGACACTCCACTGGAGAAAATCAGATTAGCTTAAGTCACTTCCATGAACTATGGATGTGTAATTAGAATCCACCTCTCTCTGCATTCACGATTCACTCCCTCTACACCTCACCTCCCCACCACCCGAGAAAGGTGTGTGTGTGTGCCATGGGGTTGGACTTCCAAATTTCATTTCCACCACCAATTTTGTAACTACACATATACCCTCCAGTTGCAGAAAAATTCAAGCTCAAGAATCTGTTTGTTAAAACATCAGACATAGAATACTGAAGAAATCGGCTACTATTTTAGTCATGACGTCAAGTTTAAATGGTATTCCTTATCCATGAGATCAAATTTTACTTTTAGTTGGTTTAATAATCCTATAAAATATTATAACTGAATTTAGTACAGGTCTCTCAATTTACAAACATCTGACTTATGAATGCTCATACTGAAGAACATGATCCCATATGGGAATGTTATTTTAAAGACCCAACATACAAATCTTTCCTGTACTTATAAGTGGCTGGTTTATATTATCCTGCTTATGTTCCAAGTTGCAATCAAATCAACTTGCAAACAGACGTGAGAACAGAAGCCATTCACAACGTAGGGATTGCCTGCATAGAAAAAGTATAAATTATAACCAAACAAGATATACAATACACTTAATGCCTTTCTCGTATATCCTCAATACAGTAGAGATATGAATATAAATATGTTGGTGCATTCTTGTTGTTTCATTGGGAGTTTTCTGATTTATCTTGATACTGCTTGGCACTGGTTGTTTCTGAGTTATAGAGCGCGTTCAATTTAGTTAGTTTAAATGTTACCTCTTTTAAGTTATATCTTGATATTCATACAAATGCACAGTTCTTAACACTCAGCTGGTGCCTGACTGACACCATTAGGAAAGAGGTCAAAATTAACTGCAATACTCTGAGTGTCCTTGCTGCTTTTGTTTGTTGATCAAAGTTGTCCTTTGATTCCCAAAGTATGAATCAGTAGCGTTAATGAGCTCCTCACGTTTGGCAGTTTCCCTCTCAACCCCATCTTCTCAGAATCTTGGCGGCATTGTACACTGACCTGAATGTTCTTGAACTTCTGAGAAACTCCCAAAGACCATTCAGAGGCAGATCAATCAATTCAGTGACACCAGTCTGTCAAGTATGCAGATTGGCTGAGGCCTTCCACAAGATCCAGGTCTTTAGATAGAGTCTTTACATTTCTCCCATGGCCCTGTGTTGTTAAATTTGGTGAGGAGATTGCTTCAAGCACTGTCATGGGTATTAGCCACAGTGCTGTACTGAAAACTTTATCAGTTTTCTTGTCTTTAGCAATGTTGTCTCAGGATCTCTCACTGATGGCTAGCAGACTGCACACCATATCTGGTACAATGTAGAGTATTGTGAGCAGGTTTGGAGAACAATGCTTAGCTGAGGACTGGACAACAAATCAGTGTAAAGCAGTAATATTTGTTAACCATTAAACTCTTTATAAAAATATGGCAGAGCAGCACTTTGCTGGAACCTTATTTCCTCAGGTCCCAATCCTAATTGATCTGATATTATCTAACATCACTGTTGATTCAGTCCAGCTGTTAGCATTATTATTTAATCCAACTTGATACAATAAATTAGAAAGGCGTTTTCCTTCCCAGGCCTAATGCTAACCAGAGGCGGATTTACCTCTCCGTATTTGTTCTCCGCTCCTACAATATTTTGCTTTCATATGCTTACTTGAAACATAGCATAAAGAGAAATGTAGGATAGAATTCTCACTGACCTGACTTGCAGGGAATGGGTCAGTCAGGAAGTTGAGAAGAACCTGTCATTCAGGATTAAAATCCACAGGTTGTTCGTGATTTACGTGATTTGTTGCCCACTCAGAGGCTAAGCTTGATTGACAGCCTCAATGGGTTTCACAGACTCAATATTATGTTTTAAACTACAGTCCAGCTTCTTACATCTGAATGGCTACCCCATCAGAAGTGGGCAAAAGCCAGGAGCCAGTTAAAGCCAGAAATAGATGGTTGCAGATTGGAGGTGAATTTGGGGTCAGAAAGCAGATTTTTCTGACACAAACGCCTTCTCCCAATCCCCACAATGCAAACTAAATTGGTCTATTATTTTTGTAGTTAAATTTCTTCCCAATTGTTTTTATTTCTGTAAATTTATCATTCCAGCTTGCGCCTTTTAAGAATGTCTTGTCTTTCAGAACCATGCCCATAACTTTTGATATTGCTTGAAATTGATTAAATTTCACAGGATAGCTTCAATTTAAGGAAGTCACTGCTGTGGTGGAAGAAATAAAGATGAGTATTTATGCCCATTTGTTCCAGAAGTTTTGTTTTGTTTTCAAACCACTTGTTTTATTAAATCATGTTTTTTTTTAGTTGGAAGGCTCCTACATGCTGCTCAAAACCAGCATTAATTGAAGTGAAAACAAAGGAGATACACCCAACTGACATTCAGTGTGGAGAGAGTTTGAGAATAAATGTGGAAGGTGTCCACAAGCTGTCATTCATCAACGTATGGCTTTTGTTTCCCAGATTGATCAAGAATACACTTTTTCCTTTTGAACACAATCCCCATTGATGTTTGGTCTCTGCATAGAATAATTCAACAGGGATTTCAGTAGACAGAAAGATGGCTTTGGATCAACAATTGTGTAACAATCAATGACAATGAGCTGACATGCCTCCTGACAGTCTTTTAGCCTGGCATCAGTGGATCGCCTTTATATCATTCTCAGTTAGCTGCACAGAACAAAAAAGCATATCCAATAAGTATTACTAGTCAACACTAATCTTGGGCTGTCATTTTGATAGATTGTCAAACAAAACAAGTATGCAGCATAGTGGTTCAGTGGTTAACATTGCTGCTTCACTGTGCCAGGGACCTAGGTTCTATTCCAGCCTCAGGAAAGCGAGGTTTGGAGTTTGTGTGGCGTTTGCATGTTCTCCTTGTGTCTGTGCGGGTCCCCTCTGGGTGCTCTGGTTTCCTCCTACAGTGCAAACATGTGCAAGTAAGGTGGATTGGGCATGCTAAATTGCCTTTAGCATCCAGGGATGTGTAAATTGGTAGATTAGCCTGGGGAAATACAGGATTACAGGGATAGAGTCTGGGTGGGATGCTCTTCAGAGAATCAGTGTGGACTTGTTGGGCTAAATTCCACACTGGAGGGATTCTAAGAAGGTATTTCTAGTTGACAGTAACTTCTTCCCCTTTACCCTCCAATTTTCCCTAACACTCCCACACACGCATTCTATGGCATTTTACAATCATGTAATGACATTTAAAATGATAGAGTATTTAAACAGTGAGGGACATTTATTCTGTACAGAAAGTTCTGTAAATGAAATAGAAGAGAAGGAAAGCAAACAAAAAAAAGTCAGCATCAAGTAAAGCTAAACACTGTTAAAGGTTAAAGACTATAGGTGAATAATAAAACACTAACCATCCTTTGTGTTTGCTCAAAGATCTTGTGTTTTTTATGATAAGTGTTGCAGGTCAGCTGTGGGTAAATGTTGTCAAGTATCCTGAGGAGCATCTGCTATCAGCTTTAACTTGAATCCCAGCTGACCCACAAAAACGGCAAAAGGAGATTGCTATTTTATCTCCTATTCTTTGTGACTTGTATAATGCAATCTGCGTAGATGTTAAGAAATTGTTATTTGGTTTGAATCCAAAGTTAAGATTTCATTTTCCTGAAACAGGTTTAAAATACCTTTAGTGCCAAATAGAAAATAAGTCTTCACTAATTTTGCTTCATCTGTTCAAACCTTGTTGCTGTTCTAATTTACTTTTGAGTAACTTATCTTGATACTCTGAGAATCCTCCTTATTTTCTTGTGTTCAACATCTTTTCAAATATGAGGAGCAACATAGTCCGAGAAAGCTGTAAGTTATTTATGTAAAACAAAGTTTGACCCATGTTTAAATTAAATTATGCATTTAATTTTTCCATTTGAACAAGAAAAGCTTTACATAGTTTTACAAAGGGCAGCACAGTGGCTGGTGGCTCAGCGGTTAGTACTGCTGCCTCACAGCACCGGGGACTCAAGTTCGAGTCTACCCTCGCGTGCCTGTGTGGAGTTTGTGCGTTCTCCCTGTGCCTGCATGAGTTTCCTTTGGGTGCTGCAGTTTCCTCCAAAGATGTACAGATTAGGTGGATTGGCCATGCTAATTTGCCCATAGTGTCCAGGGATGTGCAGGCTAGATGGGTTAACCATGGGAAATGCAGGGTTACAGAATGGGGAGGTGCACACAGTGGTGGGTCTGAGTGGGATGCTCTTCAGAGAGTTGGTGTGGTCTCAATGGACTGCTTCTACACTGTAGGGATTCAGTGAGTCAAATGCAAAATTACTAATACAGTTGCAAGTTTACTTTTAATTTGTTTAACTACTTTAAAATGTCATATTTTTGCATTTTATCTAAACACATGTTTGAAAGATTAATCTTGACTGACAGAACTTTGGTGATTTTTTTTCAAGAGTTTTGTCATGATATTAATGTTCACACATCAAATATGAAAGTCCAAAAATCAGAATTATAACTTGCACATGAAGAACAAAACTAAAACTGAGAAGGTACATAACCTTTGTAACCCAAAAGCAACAACTAAAACAGAATGCCAGCAAACAGACAGAGGTGCTGATATCCAATGGCACAGCATTCAGAAATATTTGAAATTGAGATTTAGAATTAGTGTGTTCTGAAATGTATTCATGGCATTTTGTTTCCTCCAATGTTTAACAGAAGCAACAATACTGAGTTATGATGGAAGCAAGTTTATGAAAATCCAGCTACCTGTTGTAATGCACACAGAAGCAGAGGATGTATCATTGCGGTTTATGTCCCAAAGAGCATACGGAATCTTAATGGCAACAACTTCCCGAGATTCGGCAGATACTCTGAGACTGGAACTTGATGGTGGTCGTGTCAAACTAACTGTCAACCTAGGTAACATCCATTTTGACTTTGTCTCATCACGTTTTTTAAATAGATGTTTTAAATGGTTCATTAGGTTGCTTTCACGAATCTGTTTGAAGATAAAAACACTTAAGAATGAAAGATGCAAGAAAACTTGTTGCCATAATTTATCAGCCCATCTTTTGAGACTTGGCTTTTTCATATAAACAAAATTGTCATTTCTGTTTTGTTATGAATAATATATTTTTGAGGTGTTTCTTATGCTAAAAGTGCAAAGTTTCTTTCTCAAATGCATTTAATAAATTCATATTTCATTTTTACATTTTCTTTGTATCTGAAGCAAGAAGCCCATTTATCAAGCAGTCTCGAAGACATTGCATCTGACACATTTCTGTCATACATTCCATGCTGTGATGGATGCAAAATAATCTTCAAATAAATAAAAGAGAAAGAAGATTAGCATTGATCTGGTGCCTGGTATTCACAGGAAGCTATGATTGTTCTGCAGTTGTCTTAATGCACTTTTATAGCCATTTCCTCAAAGGCAATATTTGTGGAGTATTTTAGGAAGAACAGGTATAGAAGCAGTTAAAAATCATAACTTTGCTCCAGTCTCCATGAACATTACCATATTTGAGTCTTTCCCAACTCAGATATGATATTTTGTTGCAAATAAAAGATAGTCTATCCAGCTCCAGTTTTTTCTAAGTGTATATTACTTGCATAGTTATACAAGATTAAGAAACTTTGAACTTGGAAAATTATACCTAGTATTTTGGAAAGTAGATATTTAGCAACAAATTGGTCATTTACTTTCCCTTGAATAACTTTATGGGCTTCTGCTTTTATCACTTTGTTTTTAACAAATGTTGTATCCACTGCTCTTCATTCTAATCATATTCATACTTTTAAAAGTCCATTTTTATTGTACTGTGGTGATAGTTACACACTTGTTTTGGATCAAAAGATGGTACACAACCCTTCAAAGGCCAAGGTCTGCGGCCCTAAGCAAACAGCCATGCGAACAAGAATGTGCAGCCTCTTTTACAGTGAAAATGCTTGCTTTAGTTTCATTCAAACACTTTTTTTTTAAAATGGAAAAAAAACATGAATAATTCGTGCTTTAAAAGAAACAAATTGAAATAAATCCACATTTGCAGTATTACATGTATTCGCATTTCTGCTCACTGCAGTTTGAAATATTTATGCTTAAACTATTTTGTTAGGTTGATGGAGAAGAATATGCAGTGTTGATGAAATCTGCCTCTCCGTTTCATTTATGTTAGTGTATGCAAACAATTTGAGGTCAGGGTTGATACTAGCTTCCCAAAACATCCCATGATGGTCACAAAACTATGACATTCCTAACACTGCTCATTCTCGTATACGAGGCAAGTGCATTGAACAATTTCACCAAAATGTCCATCTCTTTCTCTTCCTTGACTTGTATTGTAATTACAGTGTATATTACTTTGCACACGCTAAACAAAAAATTAGACACATTTCCGCCAAGACTGGAATTTCAAACTTTAAGCCAAATGACTTGATTCATGTCAAAGTTGCGACCTGGCCCATATTCCAGCCGGTCACACAAGATTCAACTTTTAGCCACTAGAATTTCAAAGCTATCAACTTTTTATTGATTAGTTGACTGGCCATATGATTGTGCAAAATATAAAGGGACTAATTTCATCTCTGTTCTCAATTTGAGCCTTGTGAAATTGGCAAAATTTATATCTGGAGTTGGAAGGTTTAGTAATTATATCCATTATTCTAGAGAGGGTGTTTCAAGTTCAAGCTTCTTATTCAGGAGGACAGCTTTTTCAGCACAGCTACTGGACCATGAAATGGATTTTTTATTTTTGTTAAACTAGTTGTATATAGTAATAACCAACCGGAGGAGGGGTGTGCTGTTTGATGGTTTTATCACAGCCCTTTGGATTGCATGACATTGATAAAAGCCTGGAGCTTTGTGTCACATGTTATAAGGTGACTGAAACCTCTCAATCATGGTAGGGTGCACACACTCATTTTAAGGCAAACAACTTTCCATATTTCATCGTTTTTTTCTTTCCAAACCACTAATTGCCTTTAAAAAATGTTTAATTGTAACACAAGATATAAATCTGAAAATTTGGCAACAAAGAAACATTCTCCCAAAACATTATTCACTACCTTTGGAGTGGCATGTAGAGAAAGAGAGTTTCCTCCTGTGAAAAACAAGGCAAAATACAAAATGTCATTTTCTGAAGATGATAAGAGTGTCATTCTTTCTACTGCGGCAGAGAGAAAAATGTCAAGTCGTTTGTCAAGTGAATAACAGCAGTCTCATCTAAATGGAACATTTGAAACAATCTTAACTGAAAGGGAGATAAAAGAAAAATCTCAGGATACAAGAAACATCCCAATCTGCTTTGACATCAGAATCCCCAGTATAATGAACTCCAACAGGATGTGCCTCCCTTTTGACCCAATAATTGGTGTTACATGCATACATTCATTTTGTAATGTATTCCTGCATTCTGTTTCACCTCTGACATCCTATCTTTGCAACAGGTCCTGATGATTCTTTAATGCAGTTCTCATCACATTTGGTTGTCCCACAATTTTCAAGCAATTTTATTATTTTCTTGGATGCATTCCATATAATGAAAATCTTCATCACATAGAAAAAAAAGATTGCGTGGTTTTTGATGTGATTTTTGACTCACCATAGAAATCTTAATATCACAATGCCAGATAAGACCATCATTTTCTTTTAACCTCTATTCAAAAAAGGGAATCCAATTTATTAATTTTGTAGCTGTTTTGACATAATTAGGATTAATATCAAAGACTTCTATCTGCACCAGCGTTAGGCCTGAGTCACTGCTTTCAATGACATCTTCTGGTCTTTCATTTTGGGAAATTGCTCTGATCATTTTCACCAGATGCAGGAGAGATCATAATTTGGAAAAGTGAACTGTCCTCCCTGAGCACTATTTTAATTAGTTCCAAATGAAATAAGCAATCTGCAACAAACATAGCCATACAAGTGATGAAAAATAAGCCCACTATTGACAATAGTATTGCTGGAATATTTGCTTGTATCCCTTACCCTCATAATTAAATGACAAGAGTGCTGCGAGCATCTCCTCTTGGATCTCTGTGGTATCATTTCTAGTGACTCCAAACTAAAGTTTTCCATGCTCAATAATAAATATGTTTTAAAATAGCTGCTGAGGTGTGTAAAAGCACAGCATTTCTCGTAAGGAGATGTGTACACTTTGGTCTTTGGCTGTTTGCAACCACTTTTCTGTTGCGGTTGACGACACATGACAAACCCAGCTACATGAAAATTAACCTGGAATTTTTACAAATGAAATTCTTCAAGGGTGTTTAAGATTTTCTTAATCAAGCAGAACACCGCTGTCAAAATGTTTTGATATTGGACGTATACCACTCAAAGTACTCTCTCAATCTCCATAATTAACATAGAATTTTCAGTTTTACTTCTACCTAATTGAACAAAAAGATCTGGTGCATGTTTCAATTTTTTAACTGTGGCAAAAAGATAATTTTTACAAGAATTTTTATTATGTAGTTGACAAGCTATGTTTCAGAATCTTCTTCCAAACTGTAAAATGTATTTCTATCAGTTACTTTGTGCCTTCACACAAATGTCAAATGATCGTGCACTTTTTCCACATTTAAGTTACATTTCTAAATTGCTGATACATTTTAGGTTTTAGTTTTTAATTCTTTTATGCAAGCAAATTAATGGAATATTTGTTTTAAGCCTTTGAAGAATCTAAAAGTGGTCACAGATAGGTGATCTTGCCAAATTACAACTTGTACCCCGGTATGATGGAGCACTGTTTATTTTCAAAGTGGGCAGCAGTGTTCTTTCACACACGAGGAAAGGTCTGTGGCTTGTCTGGGTCAAGTATCTTTGACGTGAGAAAAATTTTTTTTTTGTCTAGGTTTAGGGATCATGTAGCTGATGTTTGCAGGTGGCCATCTTATGTTCTATTTTAATTCTAGACATAAAGTAGGCCAAATAATAGATTGTAATGTACAAAGGCCACTATGTTATTAAGATTTGTTAACAGGACATGGGAAAGTCCATAGTAAAATGGCCACATTTGCATGTGTCTGTCCCCGGAAGGGTGGAATGTAATTTTTGTGGATGTCTGCAGCTGTTACCTTGAAGGATATAATTTCATTTTTCATCTATTCTTCCCTATCTAGACTGTATCAGGATTAACTGTAATAACAGTAAGTTGCTGTTCAAAGCTTTTTCACTCTTTCTCTCCTACTTTTAAAACAATTTGCCAAAGTAGAATTTACTCTTCTCATAGACTCACAAATATATACTAAGAAATTGAGACATACTGATCTGCTCAGACTAGAAAACTGCAAGGCACTTGTCAGGGTGTTAAAAAAAAGTTTTCATTTAATGATTATTTATTCAAAAAAGTCTTTCTATCAATTAATTTTTTATATCATTTAGAATATGGGCTTAGATTTGTTTAGTGGTATGTGTGGGATTGATGACATAAAGGCATGCCTTTAAGTCTTTGTTGTTTAAGAACAATTTATGACAAGGTAAGAAAGCATAATAGCCTATGTATTATTTGTGAAGGATTAAGGTAATTTTACAACTTTGTCACTTGAGTGTGATTGGTCTTGCTGTGATTTGCATATATCCCAGACCACATTTGAAGAAACATTTTTTTACACCCTGCTCACTGTGCATTAATGATGGGAAGGAATCACAGATACACCTAGTTGAATATGTAATCTGCATGACTTCGCTTTAAAAATGCTTAAGATAGTGCATGGAAAAGTTAAGCTCTTTGCATGTTAATTAAGAAATTTAAAAATGTAGAAAAAGAACGGATTGTGACTTTCTTCTACTAATGACACCTGTTGGATAGACCCTACACAATAATTTTGCAGGATAAAAATGACCAATGATTTCTGTTTTTTTCATCAAATCTCTTGGTAATATGACTAAAATAATGGCAGTTTGGCAAACGCGCTGAAATAAGTTCTGTTAGTGACCTGAAAAGGTAACATTAGTGATATATGTGATAACATAAAGTTCTACAAAGTTGATTCCACTTTTTCATCCTGTAAACAGACTAAAAGATTAATCTAACAATCCTCAAAAAAGACCCAAGATATAACAGCTCTTCATACCCTGGCTAAATACATACTAATACTTTTGTATTGTCTTCAAGCAATTCTTTTAGAGTAGTTTCTGTGAATGGCTGCATTCACCTTATTTAGTCAAGTGCAGAAACTGAACTGAAGATAAACTTTTTTAAGACTAGCCTTCTCATTAAAAATGTTATTAAGGAAGTGTACATGCATCCCAAATGCTTTCTATTTTTAAAAATGTCATCGGTTTTGTATAGTCTTAACTTTTCACAACTTTCATTTTCAAAGAAATGTTGTTATCATCTGCTCATGGATTTGTAAATGTATCTACTGTGCAGGACAGTCCATGAATATAAACTCCGCAATTTGTTGGCTCATGTTCTTTTATCATTATATTTATTTACGTAGTGCAATTGAAGTATTTTTAAATGTATTCGGATGTATACTGTTAGTGAGATAATTGCATAGTCTATGATGATGTCACGTACATTTTCTTTACAACCTACAGTATCTAACAAGAAATGTTCCCAAGAGGACACTAATCCATTTTAATGACTAGTTCACAGGGATTCTTAACCACTTGGGAGAGGATTAACACCCAAAAGACAGAAAATGCAAATTACATCATCAAATTTGGGCAACTGATGTCACTGTTTACTTTCAGTCATTCGATCTTGTGTGGTAACATAGGAGTCTATCATAATATAGCGTGTTTTCCTACATAAACAGTGACTTTTGTGAAAATGTTTTTCCTTTTGAAGTCACTCTGTAAAGTCACTTTTGCATCCCTCTCTCCAAGAGGAAACAAGTTTTATTTTCGTCCGGGTATTTCTCCTCATTCTAGCTCAGCTGTTCTTCGAGGTCACGTACATTGTTTCACCAGTAGGAGAGCATTTGACCTTTAGAGGCTGAATCTGACACAGGTGACTGCTTTCTACACCACCCTGATCTAATTTTAAGTGCGCTGACTTATACTCTTGATGCTGACAGTTCTGAAATACAGCTTTAAAAGGGAAGGAAAGTCAGAAATCAGGAAGTAATTTGAAACAGATATTGACCCTTGAGCTAATCATCCACTATTGCAGCCTCAACTAAAAATATGGAACTCGCTGCAATGGTTAAAAATGCACTTTCAGAAGCACAAACCCACACCACAAACAGCATAGGCTCAGGTAAGTGAAGTCTTGGGAATAATTTCTTGTGAAATTGGTGCCAGCATGCAGGTTATAATGGAGAATTGTTTCCAGTTGTTTGAAAGAAACAAAGAAAATGCCCATCTTGAACTGAAATATATCTCATTTGCTTCATAATTGTAAATCAAAGATGTCACACTTTTAGAAAGGAGGAAATGAAAGGGGGTGAGATATGGGACTATCGGTGGTAAAATAGTTGAAGATACTGCCTTTGAGTTCTAATATAGATTATATCTAAGTAGAGATACTTGGAAAATATTGACTCAAATAATTCAAGTTTCAACACAAATGCAAATATATTATTTGTTGTCTTTGTTGTAAAATATGCTTGCCTCAACATTGTAAGCAGTCATTTAGTCATCTTATTGAAGTAACTAACATGGGCTAAGAACACTTTTAAAAATTCAACTGATCATGCTCTAGTCTGAAAGATCGATGTTAAGATCATTCCAAACTGAGCATGGTATGAAGACACACCTTGCATCTTGAGTGGATGATGCTCTCTGACAGATTACTGCCTATGCAGTGAAAAATAAAAATTATCTGAGTACTACAATGAACAGCATGAATGTTGAAAAATTCAAAATGGGAGCAGACGCAACAACTGCTCAACAAAGTGTCTGATATCAAGGTTAGTTTGAATCATTTCTCCATGTATCTCCATTTGCCTGTTAGAGTAACATTCTTCTAGTTAATACGAAATGGCAATGCCATTTGGAATTTTTAAAAATTATCGATAATTATTATGAATTGTTTAAATTAAAAGGATATGAAATTACAATACAGAGTGAAGACAGAGCTGCAGATGCCAGCCTCTCCTTTGTGCTGTCCCCATGGAAGAATTTATCAGTGTCTGGCATATAAACTAACTTTGCCTCCAGCAATGACTGTATCCCACTTAAACCGAGTGACACAACATTGGCAGATCCCATTTCGTATCTGGCCTCTGAAGCACATAGAGTGCCTGTATCTGAGCTTGTGTTTGCAGATCAGGTCAGATCAGGTGATGGAGTCTCTTCTGCAGAGTTATGCTCTCCGCCTTCCTGAGTAAGCTGTTGGGAGGCAGGCAGCAGATTTTGGTGTCCGAGAACAGAAAGTGGGGTAAGCAAAAGATATAAAGAGATAAGGAGAAAATTAAGGTAATCCGTGGTCAAACTGTCTGCAAGTTGCTGTTCATGCTGGATACCAGGAAAGTGGTGAGGTGGAAGTTGAAAAGATGTATGTACCGTCATCCTTAATGTCATCAGTGACAATGAATACCATAGTGATGGTCTCACGATGGAGAGCACTATCTACTCTATAGGGGGCAAGGGATGCAAGTTTCCTTGCTCCCCCTTTGATTGTGCTCCATTTCTTCCTAGTTTGGTTCATGTTCCTCTTACATGAGAGGAGAATAAATGACAGCGATTGTGCTACATCGCATTTGCATGTTGTTCAGAAGCTGAAAATACGTTGAGGAGGTGGGAACTAGGTGTGTAGGTGTTATTTTGGAACGTGTCTGAGGCTAATCTGGAATATCAGTCCACATATCCTGAGTGCCAGGAAGCGCTGATGGGTGAGTGGGAGTTTGTTGCATTGCACAGCATAAATAGGTAGTGCATACATAGATTTGTGAAAAAAGTTTTCAATGATTTTGACGATTTGCATGAGGTCATTAGTCTTCTTACGACACTGCTACTAGTTTCTGAGCACTGCAGTCTGGGAATTGCCTTCTCAGGGTATCTGCTTCCATTTCCTGCTGAAGGTGGCCTGTAAGAATCTTCTGAGCCATGGATAAAATATGGTCGTTTCTTGTCCATCTCCATCTTCAGCACCACATCCATGTATCTGGGAAGCTTCTCTGCACCCTAATCCTCCTTTTCCTTGTTTAGAATTACAGTAAGAGCAGAAAGCAGATGCTGCTTGATTTTCAGAGCAGAGACCTTGAAGAACTACAAACTGACTTTCAGATATGTGGCCTGTCTGCACCATTTCTCACTGTAAATGATTCTCAACCCACTGTTGCGAGTGCAGGCCTGCTTGGAGCAATGTTAAGATCGTTTAACTGAGAAATTTGAATACTGCCTATCTCTACAGCAGGCCAGAGCAGGTTTTCGATATTTCCAAAAACAGCACAGACTGATTGCTGCCCAGTCATTTAGATTTTTTTTCGAGGCACCATAATGCATGTTACACTCATTTTCTCTACTTTCGTCACACTTTTGCGAAGAGGCTTCCATTATCCAGCTATTTCACAGATGCTGAAAACAGTTCTGGGAATTCATCATACCAAACTTAATGGTTATGGTGAGAAAGTGCTTTATTTTCTTGTGCAAACCTGTTTAGAAAGCAGTATTCTCTCACCTCTTGCTCTCTCTCTTCAACAGAAATGGATATAGAGATATTTATGAATACTCTATTGGCAAGCTTTGAACAAGGTTAGAGGTTAGCAATGAGGGAAAAAAAAATACCTTTCTTTCAAAACAGTGGAAATATTGAACACCCAGATAAAACATTTTTTTTGGCTTCAGTCAGCAGCTTAAAGGTATCAGGACATTTAAAGTGCCTCTTTTTGGGCTGAATATTTTGTAATTCCCTAATTAAAGTTTCAAACCAAACGTGCTGTAAAATCAATTTTCAGGCTGAGTGCCACTTTGTCAAGTTTCAATGAGGGTTTCTCTCTGTGAGTCCTGGTCTGTTTTCTCCCATGAGAAAATTGCCTCATTAACAATGTACCATGCATCTTTGGTGCCCATCTCATCCAATGTTAGCCAATTCTCCCACTCTCTGAGGCTGGAATCAATCACCACTTATGGGATATCCCAGGATCCCTGGTGCTGGTGACGTACTTAGAATGTTGTTGGGCACCCAGTAAAGCTCTGACAATCTGAAGTTGCCGTGTATGAATGGGATGTTCAGCCCAAATATAGCAGACAACAG